TTTCCATTTCCATTTAAGTTGGCGCACACTGGAGAGCTGTCAGGACTTTGCGGCCACTTTGCACGACATAGGAGTTCGTGTTCGCCGTTGCAGGACTGCCGACTGAAGTGCTGCAGGCATATCCTGGATGTTGAATAAGAAAAAATACCCCCGCTCGAGTAATTTATGCTGGCAGCAAATTGATTATTGTTATTGGAGCACGTCTGCCTGGCAGCTGGATTTATGTGGCACATTCGGGGTCAGGGGCTAATTAGTAATTAAAGTGCAACTGTCAGTAGAGTTAAATGGCTCTGGCCTTCGACATTTTTCGATCGATTTCAATGCGAACACACAAGCCCGAAGTGAACGGCGAATGCAAATTAAATTGTGCCATTTGTTGGCTGCTAGCAAAATCCAAGTTAAGTGGGTGGAGGAATATCTCAGTGGCTCCCGGCATTAGCGGTGCCAGGTAAATATTTATAAATCAACAAACAAACACACACACACACACACATATGTTAAGACATGGGAAGACAAACTTTGGGATTGCCAAGAGCGACACGCACTTGACTTTCGAAACTCACTTCAAGTCGCGTTGAGGCTGAGCCCAGGCTAAGCTCGAGCCATGAGTGGAGCTCTTCCTTTGCCTCCTGCTGCTGCTGCTGCTGCTGCTGCCTGTGCCTGAGTGTGTCCTTCTGTCGTATGCTTGTGTTTGTTTGCATTGCTCAAGTTCTCGCCGGGAAGTTGTGGGTAAAGTTTTTGCCTGGCTGCGTGTCGCATGACGTTGCTCTTTTGCCGCTCCAGAATGAAGTTGTTCGCGTTCCCGCACTCATCATCAACGTCAGATTTGAGGCAGGCTTTCTTCTCTGCTGTCTATGCGAATCAGGTTAAATTATAGAATCCAAGCTGGCTGACAGGTGTTCGCGGGAGAGCTCTCATACCCCGAAGTGCGCCAGCAAATGAGCAGACTGCGTGGAAAATGTCAACACGTCTTGGTGGGGGGTTCCTGGGGCCCTGTCACCGTTGTGCTGCCCGCATTGACCCCAAAATGTCTAGCCATGCGGCCTGCAACATGCACACACATTCGCTCACTTCATTTGTGTGCTGTGCATGTTGGGAGGTGGAGAGTGCGGCTGGGCTTGGTTTGGTCTGCCCTGTGATGACATCAATTTGCGTAAATTGTGCTAGGAAAACGCTGCCGCCGGAAACAGGCAGACTAATGGAGCGGAAGTTTTTCCAAAGCATTCGCATGCCACCGCACGCCCTTTCATGCAGCAACGATCCTGAATGGCAGTCAGCCAGTCAGCTAGCCATTTCGTGTGGCACATTCAAACAGCATGCAGATGAGCCTGCGATGGGGCAGGGTCCTCTTGGTTGACTGCCAGTTATTTAGCAGCTCTTCTAATGAAGCTGCTGACGGCAATTAAACATTACGCATACGCACCGCTGTGCAGGCAAATTTAATGCATTTGTCTCTTGTTTTCACTCACTCCCGTCCAGCCCGTTCAACCCACTCGCTCCCGCACTCACTCACTCACTCACTCAACCAAACAGGAAGAGACAGGCACAAGATAAAGCGAGACAGAGAGAGCCAGAGAGGAAAATGTTACGCTTAATTTGTTTGAACGCTTGCCGGGGCTATGTAAAATTAAACATGTCTGCTGCGCATTTAAAATGTCACCGGGACACCGGGACCAGCGGCAGCGCCGTGATCCGGTTGTGGTGCACGACTCCTGCAGTCTGTCCCTTTATTCGTTATCCCGCTGATGTCTGGGCTCGTGTCTATAGATCCTGTGCCCGCATGGAAAACGAAAATTTTATCAGCATCAGCATGAAAATGTCGCCGCATATTAACCTGTCATCCATCACTTTTGATACTTTAGCAGTCCGCTTCCATCACCGCGTGTTACCTTTGCAGCCCGCCCGCTCCCTCTGCCATCCTCTGCCATCCTCTGCCATCCTTTGGTGACATCACGCAGCGGCAAAAAGGGTCAATTCCGTTGCACGTTGCTACACAAAAGGATAACGAGCGCAATATGAGTTGGCATTATAATACAACAACGACTGCCACGGCAACGGCCAAGAGCGAGAGAGGCAAAATGACAGCGCAGGGCACAAAGAGAAAATGAAATGGCGTCTCCGTTGATGCTGCTGCTGCTGCACGGAGTGACGATGGGGAAATGCAAAAAGTCTCAGCTTACAATTTCTATTCAATAAAAACTCAACTTGATTTTGAGGGATATCCACAGCCAAAACCCGATTAAGCTCATGCAAAAATGCGAGACATCCAATTGGAAAAGAAAAGCCAAAAGCAGTCTACAGCTTTAGGTAATATTAAATGGTAATTACACACAGCAAAAAGGTAGATGTTCTTGGACCCAAATTTATTAGCTGCTGCATATAAGTTTTTGGGCAAAAATCAACAAAATGTAATAAAAGTTGCAGCGGCGGAGGGGCCAGGGCCCCCGGCTGATGTGGCATTTACTGTTGATTCACTGTTGGCCAACTTTGGAACAGCAAAGGCCAAACTTTAAAGGGTTGCTGGGGGTTGCTGGCATTGTTATTGGTGTATATTTCTATAGAGAGCATGTGTGTGTGTGGGGGGATGGGTGTTTTTGTCCCTTTTATGACTAAAATTGTAAATTATGTCAACTGGCCACGACCCACAGAGCTCGTTATGGCTGAAGTGCTACAACGGGGACAGCGGATGAGCCACCAGCAGAGGACGAGGCAAACAGAGAGATAGAGAGAGAGAGAGAGAGAGAGAGAGAGAGTGGCAGCCAAGAGGGATGTGTGTGTGTGTGTGTGTGAAGAGTTTTAGTCTTTGCTACACGAAATTAATGAAAATTTATTGATAATAAATGTAATATGTTTTGCGGTTGCATGTTTTATGTGCCCCACCCACACACAAACACACACACACACACAAGTTCAGCTTTAACTGCAGTTTCGGTTACGTATCATAATTAATTTATGGAGCCCAGACACTCCCCTCTGAGATGCACTCGGAAATGCGATATTTATCAATCGATTCGACGCTCTGCATTTGAGTAACTTTCCGCTGCTGGCAACCATTTTTTGTTGTATCAACCGCCATTGTCGTCCATCGTCATTGGGGCGGCCCCGTTGCCGCTGCCGCCACTGTTGACATTTCATTGAGTCGGGCTCAAACTTCATTATGTCCTGCAGCGTGTCGTCGTCTGGCGCCAGGGCAAAGTCTCATGTGGTGTGCGTGCCACACATTCCTCAACATCGACGCTTACTTTGTCTTCATGCTGGAGCTACATCTTGCCCTTGCTGCTGCCTCTCTGCCACTTTTTCTCTCTCTCTCTCTCTCTTTCTGGGTGCTGCTTGTGTGACTTTGTCTAAGTTTGTTTGCATAACCTATTTGTATAAATATTTTGCCGTGCTCTTATTTGCACCGCACGCCCTGCAAAAGGAATATTTTGGAAGGAACCCTGCCGCCCGTCTCTGGCTCTGTTTCGTAGGTGATAACAGTGTTTGTCTTCAGTTTCAGGGCGGAGCAGAACTTTACTTTTGGCATTTTCACTTAAACTTGCTCAACGGCAAATTCGGTTTATTATTTTATAGTTTGGACACGTGTGTATGCATGTAGCTGTGTGTGTGTGTGTGTGTGTGTGTGTGTGTGTATCTGGAACGAAATAAGACACCGTTTGATGTTGCATACTTTGGGGCTTAATCTGCACATCGAACGCCGCCAGCCACCGCTGGCAGTGTTTATGCAAATCCAATTTAATTCCAGCGATTTGTTGACACATCGAAGAGCAACCCGCCCAAGTCACAGCCCCAGCAGCAAGGAGTCCGGCCAAATTAACGTGTCTGTTTCCGCCTGATCCTGAGGCTGATCCCCCTCCAAGCGCAAATGCAATTTACGCGCCTGTAAAGCAGTTTGGCTATGTGCCATCTCTCTCTCTCTCTGTCTCTGTATTACTTTGAGCCAGTTTAATGAATTGTCAAACACTTTAAGCCAATAAACGCAATAATGGCACAAAGTTGCCGGCAAACGCACTTGAGCGGGGATGGGTTAGAGTCGGAGCGGGGTGTCGACAGCTGGATAGACGTTTCAGCAATTGCAAGGCGTTTAGCTGTGAAAGTTTTAAAAGTTTTACCAACTTTTACCTGCTCGTATGGGTATGAGAGAGAGAGAGAGAGAGAGGGTGAGGCACGCAGGAACATTTGTCACGGGGCTTTTCTTTTCAGCGGCCCCATGACTGTCAGCGAAACTTTGCCCACTCCCACCGCACCGCCCAGATCTGCTTTTCCTTCGACATGCAGCAGGACAGCGAGTAAAGTGTTTATGTTGGCAGGAAGACATAAAAGCGAAGGCAGTCAATGCAGTCGGTGCCGGGCTCGAGAGCAATGCCAGTGACACGCAACCGCAACAAATCCAACCGGAAATCCGCTTTAAACTTGGCCCAGACCAGCAGCTTCTCCTCCTGCCACTTCAATGATTTGGTCGAGTGTTATCAGGCAATCGCTGGACAATGCGGAACAAAGACAATGACAATCCATCTGGAACGGCTGTGGAGGAGAAAGCGAGCGAGGCACACCGAGACGATGTCCAGAAATGTGTGGAAGAGGAGAAAGATAACTCCTGCTTCAGAGCCAAGGAAAAAAGGGAAAGTTCTTCGATGCCAAGACTGGGAGCATTCACACGAGAGATGTCAGAGCTCAGAGCAACAAGGAGGCACATCACAGAAATGATTCCAGTGAAGAGGCAATGAGAGTCACTGAACGACAGCTGGTAGAAAAACAGCAGAGGCCTTCCACTTTGTGTATTGGGTTATGGGGAACTTCGCTGTACTGTGCCGTGGGAGCGAGATAAGCAAGACAGCGATAAGTGAGCGGAATAACACTACAAAGATTCGACAATTTCAATTACGATAGTGGCAGTCAGTATATGGTGGAGCAACTTGAGCGGCGAGTACACTATCGGACCACTGCAGGGCACATGGGAAGATGATAGCCAGCGTATATAGGGGGGAGCCGGCCCCCAAGTGATTTCAGTTGAAGCGACAAGAGGCCAACGCTAAGAATGTGCGCGAACGCGAAAGATGGCATCACCATACGAATTATGGAAGAGAAGGACTATCCCATTGTGAAATTGTTCATGCAGGAAGAGTTCTTCTCGGGGGAACCGCTGAGCCAGTCCACTGGGGAAGAGGTGCACCTGCAGAACGAGAAGGAATCGGACGAGTATCATCTGGGCATGATCGGAGAGGGCACGTGCCTGATGGCCACTGACGATAACCAAGGCGGGCGCATTGTGGGCTTTGTACTGGCCGGATCCCAGTACCCCGCGGACTTGGAGAAGCATCGCAAAGAGGCCGAGGCAATGGAGCAACACACCTGGGGACGCATCTGCCGACTGCTGTCCAAGATCGAACTGGAGGCGAACCTCTTTGAGCGCTACGGCATCTCCAAGCTTCTGTATTCCCACATGACCAGTGTGGGTGTCTCGATGCGGGGCAGGGGCCTGGGCTCCCGCCTGGCTGCCACTCTGATGGAGGTGGGTCGGGCCAAGGGCTACCCCCTGATGATCGCCTACTGCACGAGCTTCTACTCTGCCCGCCAGAAGGAGGCCTTGGGCATGCAGTGCATCCACTCGCTGCGCTATGCGGACTACAAGGACGAGCAGGGACGAGTGATCTTTACACCAGCAGCACCACACACGCATGCCAGGATCATGGTCGTCAAACTGTGCGATGTTCCCACATAATCCAGCCACCTGTTTTACTATTCTAACCTAACATTGCTAGCACGATATAAAAGAGTCAAAATCAGCCATTTATTTAATGGGCCAACAGGCCAAGAAAATAGCAGAAGGAAAGTAAGGAGAAAGGGCCACTGCGAAGGTTAACAAAAAATCAATTGGTGGCCAAGTGAAACTTGATTTATGGCTGCATTTATGGAACTGCCCGTAACTGGCTCCAAAGCAGAAACCAAACAAACACACACACACGCACACACACACACACACACACACGTGAGTGTAAACAGAGCCAGGAAGCAGAGATCTAAGTGATTGAGGAGCAGTCATAAGGCGCTTTCGGCAAATTTACCAGAAAATTGACTTTTTCTGTTCGGAATTAAAGCGCTTGGCTGGTCCCCCCCCCCGTTCGGCTGGGAGCTTCATCTCAGGGATGGCTTGCCCCTTCCCACTGTGGCAGGACTGTCAACTCTGGGCGCTGCCGCTGGCTGGCTGGCTGGTGGTGGTGAAATTGAACTGTTTGCAGCTACAAATTGCAGCTGGCTCTCAACCGGCTGCATTCTGTTTTATTTTCGACAGGTGAAATAACCGCAATTACACTGATTCCGCACTGGCCCCCACTGGCTCCGCTGGCACGCCGCTATTTCTCGTGCCGAACTTTAGAAATGAAATTGCCAGTCCGAGTTGGGTCCAACACACATTTGCAGCGGCAAGAAGTGCGCTTAAGTGCCGCTTTGCGAAACATTTCATTGCATAAGCAGGGGGTCTGCGGGGTGCTGCTGCTGCTGCTGCTGCTGCTGCAGGAAGCCTGCTAAAGTGAAATACTGCCATCGCCATCGCCATCGTTGTCGTTGTCGTTGTCGTCCTTGCTGGCTAGAAAAGTCAAAAAACTAACGAAATCGGAAACGGAAGCACACAAAGCGCCACTGCCCGCTCCGCTTCTCTTCTCTTTCCCCTGTTTCCTCTCGCATTCTCCCGTTCTCTGTTTGTCCTGCATCATCATTTTCGCTTGGCTGCCTGCCTGAGAACTGCCCAAAAGTCGCAGAGAGAGCAGAGAGAGAGAGAGAGAGAGAGCGATGGTAACTTTTCCCTAGTCAAACGTAGCAACTGCGAGAGAAACAAACACAACAAAACGGAGAAAAGTTGCCACAGTTTTCGCACAGTTTTCCCGCAGTGACTTTTGCTGTTGCTGCTGCCTTTGGTTGTCATCATTTCTATATAAAAATTGGATGCTCATTTGCCGCTCTTGGTCAGTTTTGCCGTGCCCCACTCGAACCGCTGGTAATTTGCAGCAGCCAATCTGGGAGCCAGCCACAGCCACAGCCACAGCCACAGCCATCGTCCCTGCCCCTGCCCCTGACCACACTCGAATGCTTTGTTCAATTAATGAGACTCTTGACAGTTTTGCGCTGCTCCTTGCCAGTTGCTTCGGTGTCCTTTCGCTTCCTCTTTGTTTTCGTTGCGTTTACCAAGTCCTAGCTGGAAGGACCACTCGTGCTGCTGTTTTGTAATTTATAATGTTAACTTTTTGATTTCTGCCAGGTCAGGGCGCACTTAATTAATGAAACAGGCGCAGCAAAGGAAATTGCCGAGAAGGAGCGCGGACAGGAAGGAGGATGCCCGATGAAGGAGGAAGGAGGAAGAAGCGTTGCAATTGAACACAAATACATAAATTCAATTAGGCAGGCAACACAGAAATCAATAAGCGACTTCTCCAACATCTAATTGAAAGGCCACCGCCACCGCCACCGCCACCGCCCACTCGTCTCCCTCGCTTATTAATTGCACCACGTACATTGCTCATACGTCACGTGGCGCGCCCTGCGAGTGGGCGGGTTGAAGACGAAAAAACTGTCAGCTGTAATTAGCACATCTGAGCGAGAGTTGAGTGTTTACTGCCACTCTCCTCTCGTCGCCAACTAACTCGAGTTGACGCGCTGAAATTTTTGACTGAGTGACGCCTCGAACCGAAAAGATGAATGTCTTTGGCTTGCCTGAGAACATGCTGCGATGTAATTATTAATGCCATCAACATCATCATCATCATCATCGTCGTCGTCGCTGCGGAAGCTGATGACTTGTCGCTTGCCGCATGCCGCATGCCGCGCCTGCTTTTAGGCTTGCCGCGCTTAAAGTGTGGAAGATGCCACACACACACACACACACACACACACACACACACACACACGTATGTGTGCATTTATCTGCAGCAGCCACACCCTAAAAGGGAAAACAGCAGCGCATATTAAACAGACTCCTTCAGAGTCTCCCGGCCGCTGGCAAAAAAAAATAATAATTTGCAGTGCACATTTCTGGCTCTCCTTTCCGTTCGCTCCTTTTTTTCTGTGCCACTTTTTTGTATGTATGTAATAATGTATGTATGTGTGTATGTGTGTATGCGTGAATGTTGCAAGTTGGCACTGGCACACCTTTTTTTTCCACTCCTGCCGCTGAAGCATTTTTCTCGCCTGAAATGCAGGCAAACGTCCCATTGCAGAGGGACGAGCATCCTGAGGATTCTGCTGCTGCTTCTCTGGAGCTGTGATGCGGCGGTGTTCATGTTGTTTGGCGCCATTATTAATAAAGTTCACGAATGCAATGAGCACCCAGCGCGTTATGAGTGAGTTTTCCCACAAAACCCAAGCACACACACACACAGACAGAGGCAGGGGGTAGAAGGAGTCACTATGACGCACAGTTGGAGGTGGAGGCAGCCGATGTGGGGCAGCAGCATTCTCAGTTATAGCTGATGCCCTGCCCAACGGATCCCACAGATTGCCAAGGAACTTGCTTCAGTGCTCTGTCATATCCACCGCAATGGCCAAAGGGCATGGCAACTTCGTTGCTTCGTTTCTGTTTTTGCCCAATCTCATTTAGGTTCTTTTTATGCTATTTACAGCGCCTACGTCCAGGCCTGGTTCACTCTCGGCGCTATCTGTTACTGTTACTCTGCGAAATGCCACGTACCCACACACAAACACACACAAACACACCCAAACACATCCTGGCAGAGGACTGGAAATACAAACGAACATGGCGCGCGTACTTGTAATTCCGCCTAGGTGCATGGTAGAGCAAAGTGCTTCTGTTTCATGCCCATTGCAACAGTTGCAACTTGCAGCGGCACACACACACACACACACACAGAGAGAGAGATGGAGAGGGGAATGGGTGGCACTGCCGAGTTGTTGGCCGTTGGAGCTCGCTTGGTTGATGTTGATGCGCCTCGAGTTCCTGTCGAGTGCGGCTTTTGTGGGAAAAATTAAAAATTTCGAGTGGGCCGCAAGTGGTTTCAAGGATTTGCATTAAGCGCATGCAACCAACTTGCCAACATGAGTGTGTAGCCTCCATTTATGCCCTGCATACCCCTCGACACCAACCCACGACAAAAACCACATTCCAGCCATATAAAGGCACAAGCACATTAACGGGTGATACGAATGTATTCGAGCTGTTACTTCTCTCTCTCTCTGTCTCTCTCTCTCTCTCTGTCTTTGTGTTTTCGCTTCCCCTGCAGTTTCTATCTCTGGCAGTTCTTGTCCTTACGCTTTAATGGCTGCCCGTCAAAGCTTAAATAATTTTAATATCAGCATAAATGTAACTATGTAAATACGTACATAAAACGTACATATTTCCTTCTGTGTTTCAGTTCTAAATATCAAATGTCAAAAGTACACCAAAAACTAGACCAATTCCCGATGCGGCAACTAATTTTGTGGGCACATCAAAAACATACTTAGAGTTCAAAGAAAAAACCCTCGCTGTCATGCTTTATGGTCTGCTCCTGGCTGCAGGCTGCAGGCTGCAGCTCACATGTGCCATGTGCTCCTTCACATACTTAGTGGGCTGGTGGGCTGGTGGGCTGGTGGGGATGGTGACTCTCCGCTGCATTTCCAACAATTACAAGGGGCTCAGACTTGGGGGGAAAAACATATAAACTAAAGCTCTGCATGGCCCACTAAGCACACTTGTCAGCTAGTACCCATCTCCTGCTCCTGCGCCTGCTCCTGCCACTGTTTCTGTCTCTGTTTCTGTCTTGTGTCTCTCTGGCTCTTTGAACGTCTGTCTTGTGTCTCGGCTCCGCTGTTTCGGTTAGTTTTCTGTTGTTTTCCACTAGTATTTGCCGAGCGCTTCAGTCAGGCATCCACGCACAAACTTAGACACACATGTGCACATGTTGGTACAAATGCTATCGTTTTTTTTTTGTTATGTATTCTTCTGCTTGTTCTTGAGCTTTGACTCTGCCCGCCGCTCCGCCCACGCGGCAACTGACTTGCAAAAATTTCATAATAAAGTTGTTGAACTATTTTTCATTGCATAGTTTTAGGGGCTCGCCGAGCACTTAGGCGCATTAGAATGCACTCAAAGACGAGCGAAGTGAATCTCTGCCCTGCCCTGCCCTGCCCTGCACTGCCAGGATGCAAATGCCAGATAATAATCGGGCATCACAATTTAAAGGTTTTGCTCCTGCGGAGGGTGGCAGGGAAAAGCTGAAAATGAGTGCACCTCTCGGTGGCTGGCTGGCTGGCTGGCTACGTGTAATTAAGTTAGCATCAAGGACACACACAGCTCAGCTTCAGCCCGTGTGTGGCACGCTTCAGGGCACTTTAAATTGCTCTGGACGAGGGTGACAAATGGTCAGGCAAGGCCGTGTCCGCCAGGACAGGACAGGACAGGACAGGCGACTGCACAACGGTTACATGCACGTACCTCCTAATCCTTTTTTAGCACAAGCAAAATAAAATATAAAAAAAGAGCTGAGTGCAGGGAAGAACCCAAACACTGAGCAGCGGAGGAAGCGAGACAGCCTGCGACGAAACGAAACGAAATCAAAAAGTTTGAAACAATTTTGTCGTAAATCTTCGAAAATAGTTTTACAGGCAGGCCGACAACCAAACAGGGCAGGGGCCAAGAGCAAACAAAAATAGAATTTGGAGGGGAATACAGGGGTCACAGTGAGAGTTAGCGAATGAAATTGAGCTTGGGAAATACGAGTAGGAGAACTCCAACTCCTGCAGAGAGATGGATCCCAAAGTATTTGAATAACCAAAGATGTTCTTGAGATTTCGGGGC